CCTAACCAACCCACCACTAGCTACTGTCGCCGTCATACCCACCAACTCCCCGCCACCCAACACCATCCCACCATTGTTGTCGTGACAACTCACCTCGCCACCCACCCAACCCATCGTCCAGCCCCTAACCTAACCCCCCACCACCACACCACTACCGTCTCCATCACAACCGCCCCCACATCCTTCCCCCACCGTCCTCGCCCACCCCCACCCGTCGAGCAGGGCAGTGCGGGGGTGAGTGGACGGGGCGGGGAGGAGTGGTAGTTGTGATGATGATAGTAGTGACATGGTGGGGTGGTCCAAACAAAGACGGTTATTCCAATTCTTTTGAGGGATTCCATTCCAATTCTTACCAACCAAACGTCTGGTTAAAATCCGTCAAATTCCAATCCAATTTCTTCAAAGTCAAATTCCTTTGATGGATTCCAGTTCCACCAAATTTCATTCTTTGAACCAAACAGCCCCTAAGTTTCTACTTTTTGCATGAAACTTGCATCAATCTTTGGACTTGTAAGCAGTTCGCATGTTAATCTAATCTCATTCCGTTTCTTGTCTTGTCTAAATGAGACCTAGAAGACGAAAACGAGACTGATTTTGGACCCGTATGGGTAACATCTTGTTCAAGTTTTTGGGATAAAAATCTTAGGAATTTGCATAAAATGGAAAAGAATAAACAAAATTTAGGGGGCATACATCCGAATTAGAACTTAGAAACCATACTAGGCTATATGACAACCAAAAGAGCATGTACACCTAAAACCCCGAAGAGCTGCAACTATGAAACACCCCCTAACAGTAACATACATACACCGTAACAAATAAAGAAAGCAACCTTAGGTGCTGTTTACCAAAACAAATTGGTAAAAGCTAACCATGTAAGAGTGCAGCTGGGTGAGTTAGAAAGTACTAAAACTGACCCGATAATCGAAATAATAATGCTGACCTGGTAGGTGCTCGGTCAGCACCTTCAGTCAAATCAGTCCCTAGGTAAACGTGCTGATGCGGACCGAGTTTTTTTTTTTTTTATTTAAGGGTGTCCGAGCCAAAGCCCGACTAATCCCCGGCAATTTTTGGAGGCTAAACATGGCCCCACTTAAATGTCGCCAACACTCCCCTCCCAGGGCTCGAACTCGGGTTCATGACTATGCCATGCCCAAGCCTTACCACTAGGCTGGAAGGTCTTTGACTGATGCCGACCGAGTTAGCTGCTGATGCAGCGTGAATGGTAGGTTCAGGCATGGTTTACAATTCGTTGATTCTGTAGAAAACCCAAATGATGAAGATAGTACAGGACTTTGTTGGTTCAACAGAATAACTGAAGATGAATTGAAGAAGAGAATTCTTTTAACTAATAAAACAATCTGTATAAAATCAAAACATTAGCTTAACATTTAAAGACTAGAAATCCTAGATAGATGAGGAAAACCAAATTCTACCAGTGTGAGATTTAGGGGTTGTTTGGTTGGCTTTCCATTAAGTCATGTATGGATAAAGATGTCTGTGTGAATTAATCTGGCTGTAAAGATTGGTATAGTTTTTGTTTGTGAGTGTTTTCTCATAAATGGAAATAGCGTGTTTTTTAATTGGGAAGGGCAGATTTGGAGGAAAAAAACTTGGCTTTTTTCATAAAGTTCGCCCTAGAAGCTTACTGAATAAGCCACTTTTGATATCATTAAGCCACTACCAAATCGTCATGTATAGCTAAGTGAATAAGTTGTAAGTCTCATTAAACTCATTAAGCTGCTAACAAACAAACCCTTATGAGGTTTGTTTGATATGGTAAATTATGTAGTGGGTAATGAAAAAGTGGCGAGGAAATTGATCCTTTTTATATGAAATTTGAGCAGAACCCCAAGTGGAATCCATCAAGCTTAGAGGAAGTTAAAACAAGTGAAGTGGAAGCTCTATTTAAACCGCTAGACTCAGCGGTAGACGAACTCGGTGTTTGAATTCGTCTCGAAATAATATTAGCACTGTAAGTTCCAAGCGCTCGAATTAGCCTTATGTCGTAAAATATTTCCGTTCACATATAATGCAACTATTTCATGCATAATTCGAGTGTTTGTAATCAATCTAATCAATAATTAGTACATACCTTGTTTGCATTTTGGACATCTCTAACGGGTAACACCAAATCTATATAAATTGGTGCAAAATTTGGTATATCTTCTGCAATAGGTAACATCAAAATGTAAGATTCTAGATATATTCCTTTCTGTCTTTTCAAACTGGTATAATTTTTGGTGTAAATGAATAGTGTTGCACCAAATTTGGTATTAGATTTGGTGTTCTGATTTAGTGTCGAATTTGGTATTTGGTGTAACATCTGGTGTCTCCATTGGAGATAGGTCTTGTGAATTATTGAAAATTTTAAAATAATCTATTTAAAGACGAATATGTGAATTGATGTTACATATTATTCACATATGAATCTTCAATTAACTATTTCAAATAATTCACATGTGAATCTTCTTTCCATATCTTCTCATAACATTTAGATAAAACAAATTTTGCATCGATCTTAGGAGACAGATAGACTGTTTTTATAAAGACAAATTTAAAGAAACAAACAAGTAATCTACATGTGAATGTGTATGCAAACAAGCAATTTTTACGATAAATAAAACATACACCAGGGTCCAGGGACGGACATATGTGAGATAAATAAATTAGAGTAAATTACAAATTTGGTTACTGTGGTTAGTTATAAATAAATTTGTTGTTTCTACAGTTTTGAAATTACAAGATAGTCATCATGGTCATGTAAAAACGTCCGGATTTGATTCTTCAATGACCACTGTTAAACGAGAGACTTTTTCATTCTTTTATCGATTTTTTGTCTTTTACCTAATAAAAAACCACCAGGACCAAATCATAAAATCGTTTTTTATTGATTAAAAGACAAAAAAAAATCGATTAAAAGAAAAAGGCCTCTTATTTAATGGAATATTTTAACGACTGTTAGTGGGAGGAACTAAATTTAGATGTTTTTACAAACCATAATGTCCATATGATAATCTCAAAACTACAAGGATGAAAAGTGTTGTTTTTGATAAACCATAGAGACCAAATTTGTAGTTTACTCTAAATTAAACAAACCATATGGCACAACGGATTTGGATAACACTTGCTTAAGGGTGTGTTTGGTGTCTAGACAGAATAGACGGACATGATAGAACAATTGTTCAATGTTTGGTAAGATAAAACTGGACATAAAAGAACAAGTAGAACGACTAATTTACCCCTAATAAGTTGTTTATTTAATTATTTTATGTAATTTATTAAATTATAATAGAAAAATTAGTTTTTATAACAAAATATATCATTTGAAAGTTTTCGTCAAAACAATTAAAATGACACCAAATAAAAATTTTATGTAGTTTCCAATTTTTAATTTCCTCTTTTCTACATTATTTTTTATTATTAATATATAATAAATTACATAAATTAATAAAAATATAAAAACCATATAAAAATAATATTTTGAGAACAGTAAAATGAAAGTTTAAGAAAAATAAAATACAATAAATAAAATTTAAAGAATGAATAAAATATAAAAAAAAAGACATATTTGATGTTTTAAAAGAGAATTAAGTTTTATTTTAAGGTTGTATTAGTAAAATATAAATCTGTTTCACCATGTTCCATGAGGTAAGGGTGGAACAGGTCTATTCCACTTTATTTCACTCTATTCCTTTCTATTCCACATAAAATTTATACCAAACATACGACATAGATTTATGTTTTGTTATGTTATGTCTAGTGTACCAAACGTACCTTAATTGATCAGATATGCTTACACAATTATTATAAATAATATTTCTAGTTAAAAGATAGAGTAAATTACATCTTTGGTCCTTGGGGTTGTCAAATTATAAAGTTTTTTTTTTAAATTAATTATAATTTTAATCATACATTAAGTCCCTCTAACTAACTCTAGTTAAAAAGGTTAGTTAACTAATTCTAAACTTAAAGTTTTCATTATTTTAATGAATAATAAATAAAATATATTAAAATAAAATGAAAAAATAAAACCTTAATTTTATTTATTTTAAATCAGTTGAAAATGGTTAAACCATAATTTTCCCCTTAAAAATTTAAGCAATAGCCCTAGGTCGAATCCCACCACTTCAGATTTTATTTAAAATACATAATATTTATATACGACAATTGCAACAATTAAACTTACACATTCTCCTCACTTTTGGTGAGCTTTGAACTCCTGACCTCTTACGAAGCCAAAAGATATGATACCGCTAGGTCAAAAGCCCTTTGGTTCACTTCAGAATTCTTCCCCTCAACCTCGAGATGAAAGAACACTTCACAAAACAATGGTCCACTGTTTCGATACGGTTAGTACCCTTTGTTTGGTACCATGTGATTCTTTTTATTTTTCATTTTACACCCTTATTATATTAACATAAATAATCGGATATTAGCTAAAATACATTAAAATACATTTTTTTATATAAATTATATCATTATATTTGTTTCGTCAATACTTTTAAAATGAGTTTGATATTGAATATATTTGAGTTTAATCATATTGTTAAATATCATAAATACGTATGAACTATTTTAAAATACATTACATTTTATACCTTTATAGCTATTTGTTTAATTTATAACATAAGGGTATAAAATGTAAGTATTAAAATTAATTGGTATATTTAATAATAGAAATAAATCCAAAGAACTTTGATATTGAGTTCATTTTGAAATTATTCAAAAAATATTATAATCATATAATTTGTAAAAAGAAAAAAACAAATATTTTTAATGATTTTATTTAAATATAATCTATATATATCTATACTATATTATAAAGCATTTAATAAAAACTCTTAAAAACTTTTTTTAATGTATGAAGTTTATTGATGCATATTACTTAAAATTCAAGATTACAAGTAAAGTGTGCATAAGTACAACTTATTAAAGCTTCATGTTTGAATTCATGTAACTAACCGAGAATAAATATAATCAAATAGATGATAAACATTTCATTTTAAAATATAAAAAATCTAAAATATAATTACGATAATTATCGGATTCTAACAAAATAATTAATTATTATATATAAAAAATATATTATTAAACCAATTATAAATTACTTCGTTATTGAACCTAAATTGAATTATAATATAATTTTGAATTAAAAAATTACACAAAAAATGAGAAATTTTAAATAGTTAATTTGATATTAATATCGATATATTTTTGTCAAAATTTTATGATATATTCAAATTTATATTTTATTTAAAAATAAAAACATTGTCGTATTTTCAAAATCACATAAGATCATATTATAACATCGACTGAGATAAAGAATAAAACGAAGTATTGAAATCAAGATGGATTTCGCTGTATTGCACGAGTACCTTATAATATTAATATAATAAAAGTGTAAAATAAAAAAGTAAAAAATATAAACTAAATTAAATAATTAATTATAAATGTATAAAATGTAATTTAAAAATTAAAAATATTTAATTTACAAAAATGGAGTTAACAGAATTTACTGAAAAATTCCATTTTTGTTTGAAAATTTGGTTTGGTTCAAAAGACAGCTATAAATGTATTTATTTGGGGAGATTTGAGACGAGATTAGCACATGGGAAATAGTTGAAGGACCATTTTTGTAATTAACTCAATTTCATAAGTAAGGCTGTTGTGCAACACAAGACGCAACGGCGCTGGAGTTGAAAACGAATAGCATCACCGTCACCCTCTTTCGTCCAAACGATTTCAAACCCTCCAATCATCAATGCAATTTACTTCACAAAACCCCTCTTCCTCTTCGATCACGAACCCCTCAATTTGATTGATTCAATCGCCGTCGTTTCCTTCCGCCCTTCTTTCCGGTGCCGCCGTGAGATGACGTTGGGATCCCTTGCCGCGGCACAGACTCCAACATTCCGGACGGTTGTCATCCCCTTCTCAGAGCTTAAAGTAAGCTGTCTTATTTAGAAACCAAATTTTAAGTTATAACCTCTGCGATGATCAATGATTCATGTACTCTTTGACGAATTCTTTATTGGAAAAAGAATAAAGTTAACAAGTGTTTATTGATTAGAAGAAGTTATTAAAAGGAACCCAATAAAACCATGGTTCTGAATGTTATATAACCAAGGGATCGTTTACCCAAATACTTATCCATGGTAGGAGTTAACACTATAATCTCGTAAGATTGTAGTATATTAAAACGGTATCGTATGCAACAATTCACCTGGTAAACGCTTACCCAAGTAAGAGTTCTCACCATCACTTACACTTACCGGGTAAGACTCTCTATCCCTATCATCGCTCTTACCGGGTGTTGCCATGTGCATCAGGCGAGGAAAGTTACCCGATCCACACTTACTGGGTAAGTATTTAGTAAACGCCCCCTACTAACTAGTAGGATATTAAAAAGGTAAGAAAAATCGAATTTGGTGTTACAAAAGCCGCTTATTAGGTCATGGTGTACCAGGTGGCATAGACACAAGCCACGGCGGCTGTTGCTGTGAGCCTTTCAGAACACTGAAAATAACTAACATGATGTTTAAGAACTTGTTAGGATTCCAAAACTTCCCATCAACTTAGACGACTTAATTGTTCGGTGTTATAAACTCAAGTTTATAAAATCAGATTATTAGCGCATTTGGACATATTTGGGGTTCTATAAAGCGATGTTCTGTTGTAGTGTTAGCTAAAACCATGGAAGTTTGTTTGAATGTTGATGCGTAAGAAGTGTTATTGATTAGAAGATCGGAAGAAACAATATGAATTAACCACAAGGGTGGTGTCTGATTGGTTTGAGCTTGGCTCCAAAGGTCAAAAGTACCAGGAGGTCCCAAGTTCAAATCCAAAGAGGAATAAAAATCCCCTTGTGGCCATGGAGGTTCAAATGCGGTGACTCCGGGCTATCTGCAAAGCAGGTGGTAGCCCTGGGATTAGTCGGCTTGCATAGCGGGTTGGATATCCAAGTCGGCTCGCATAGCGGGTTGGATATCCAATTTTGTCGGGGAAAAAAAAAGAAATAATATGAATTTTATATCAACACTTTGGTTGTTGGTTAAAATCGGGTTTGAATCTTGATGTTACTAGAGTTTTTTGTGTCTTCATTTTCCTCTACAGTTCAAGGTTGAGTCGCCTTTTATGTGATATCAATGAAAATCGGGACTAGCCGCAAGCCTGCAATTACTTGTTGGAAAATACAGTAAACCCGAATCAAAATATCAACAAGTTTTCGTAAAAAGACAATGTGTATGCGGTCATGGTTGTTGTTACTTTCATTTACTGATACTGCATATCGACATTTCTAGGATTTTTTTCGTGCAAGTTTTTACATTTGAACTTTTAAGCAAGAACTGTATGTGATTTAACGAATCAACCATGTTTACGTCACTTGTAGCTAAACTACCAAACCAAACCAAACAAACCCAGTTTATCCAGCTCGGAAACAAGTCTGAGAGGTGGGGTGTATGCAGACATGCCATCTACCCAAAGAGTAGAGCGTATATTTCCGTGAAAACCCTCAACTTGCAAAAGAGTGTGAGTGAAAAGATTTTGACAAAAAGCAAAGAACTTGAAAGAAATGACGATTTCTAAAAGAAGAAAAGATTGTGTTCTTTTTACGCAGGTTCAAGTTATGCTGACTTATTTTATCTGTAACCATATGAATAGGATAAAGATGCTGATTTATCTGTGAAGATCGAAGAAGGATTTGGACCAGATGGATTGGGTATTTTATCTATATCTGATGTACGAAAGTTTAGTGGTAGTTCTATGTAATTTAACTTATCAATAAGCTTCGTGTTTGGAATTTGAAATTTACGCTCTTCGTTTGGTGTAGGTTCCTGGTTATGCTTTCTTGAGGAAGAACCTTCTGAATCTTGCTCCGAGGTAAAACATCTCAAAAGTGCTTTAAAACATCTCAAAATTTATCAGATGGTTGTTGTTACTACATCACTCTTTTTTGTACTAGATTAGCCAACCTTCCTGAAAATGTGAAGAAGGAACTAGAAGATCCTCAAAGCCGGTAAATCTTTGTCTTCATTCTTTATTTTGGGGGTAACCGTGGGTATCTGGGCCAGCTTAGGCGCACCGCCTAATCCCCGGGCGGCCTAAGGATAACTAGAAGATGGAGTCATTGCAGGTGAACCTCCGTAGCCACAAGGGCTAGTTATCCATGATTTATTGTTTTTTGGTAACCGTGGGTGTCCAGACCAGCTTGCACGCACCTCAACTAATCCCAGTGGGACCTAAAAAATCAGCCAGGAAAATTTCCAGTGGCCCTGAGGAGACTCAAACTACCAACCTATGGGGAGGAGTCTCAAGGCGTAGCCTTTATTTGGGGATGGTGAAAATTTGGTTTCGTGAACCAGAAAGCTGTTTATCTCTAAACCGTCACTATATTTGTTATCATGTAGGTATAACTTTGGATGGAGCCATGGGAATGAGAAGCTTGAGTCTGGAAAACCAGGTGAACGTAGTTGTAAAACTTGATTCTTGAATCATTACATTTAAAGACAACAAAATCCTCTCGTGGGTGTGAAGAGATTGAACAAAAAGTGCGATAAAATGCTAATAAACGTTCATAAAATGTATCTCTGATAGACTGATAGTTATTTCTTAGTTGTGCAGACCTGCTAAAAGGTTCCTTCTATGCAAATCCAATATTAGACATACCCACTACCGAGGCTTCTCTGATTCAAAGGTAAAATGTCGAAACAAATACGTAACAATTTACCTTTTGAAAAAGTTCCACAATTACCCTTTTGCTCATTTGTAATTGTTATCGATAGCATCATTTCGGTTCACAAGATATCTTACTTATCTGTAGGTACCCTGCATATTGTGGATCAAATATTTGGCCTCAAAGTACTATGCCTGAACTTGAAGTGGGTATGCATTTTCTATCTTTAACTTTATGGTTTGTTCCATAGGTCGCCAGTTCGAGGTCCCTAGGGCAACTAGGCACTTTTCTTGAACGGTATCTTCCTTCAGGCCCAATGGGATCAGTCGAGGTGCGCATAAGTTGACCAAGACACCCATATTTTTTCCAAAATGTTGATAGCATTGACAACCATAAGCTAGTTTATTTTTTGAGTTTATTGAAAAAACCCTGTTCGTTCTACTAAAAGCTAGCTTTTTGAAAAGCTACTTCGAGTAGCGATTCAATTAGCTCCAGGTTTTTCTTCCACCTTCTTCCCAATTATGCCTACCGTATATTTTGGCTACTTTAACATATTCTTTTAGGTCATTTTTCATTATCAACTGGCTTATCAGCTAACAACTAGTCTATCAGTCAAGGGTGGTTTATCAGCTAGTTTGCTAAACATAGGCTTGGAACATATGATAGCATATTTTCTTCTTCATGCAGCTTTCAAAGCTCTCGGAAAGCTTATTCTTGATGTCGGTTTACTGGTAGCATATCACTGTGATAAATATGGTAAATTTTCTTAATTATCCATTTATGACTATTTCATTCTTGAGTTGAATTTTGTTCATTTTTGGCTTTAATGGAACAGTGATGAAAGAGAGAGAGATGCTGCCCAATGAAGGCATTGAGCAGATTGTGTTTCGTTCTCGATGTCATAAAGGTCGTTTGCTGTATTACTTTCCTGCTGAAAAAGGGTAAATAGTCTTTCGCCATTACCATATTGCATGGATTATAGATATGAATATATATATATATATGTGTGTGTGTGTGTGTGTGTATATATGTATTGGAACAATGTGAGGCCACTCAGCTTTTGTGAGACTCGTGAGACCATATCTGATCCCTTGGATGAGTTGATCTCCAAATCTTCATAGCAAAATACTGAGACTTCACAGGGCCAAACCTTCTCATGAAAAAAAAACAAACCTTCACATCAAAAACATGACGAATGCAATGAACCTTCATAGGAAAAACACTCAAAACCGTCACATGAAGCACATATGAAAACTTTACTGTGGTCTCACGGGTCTCACATAAACTAGTTGTCCCAACTCTATATCTTGGGGCAAATGAAATAAGAACTGGAAAAGCATTGAGAACTGAGAAAACCACTTTCATATGTATTATTTCACATCCGAAACATAAGTGTTTTGTTTCATATATGAAACAAACACACACAAACACACATGAACAACAATACCAAATTTTTTGCGTTTCTCGTTTTATTTTATCCATATACATATATAATAATTATATGTAATATATATATATATATATATATATATATATATATATAGGGTTGGGTTCACGTGAGACCAAGAGTTTTTCTTGAGACCCGTAAGACTAATTTATGTTCATTGATCAACTTTATAAGCTAATGATCTCATGGTCTAAAGTTGCACGGTGACAATTTTGTGATTATTGAGAAGTCTCATGACAATTTTGTGATTATGAATGTTCAGATTGTAGATCTAATCCAAGGGTTGAGAATTGGTCTTACGGGTCTCATGAAAAACCCTTGGTCTCACATGATCCCAAGTCTCTCTCTCTCTATATATATATAGATAGATATACACACAATATAAATATGATATGAATCTTCTTGTAGTAACGATTCCCAAGATACGGACTCCATGTCATCATGGTGCGGCTGGCATACGGATCATGGTTCTCTCACCGGTACACGAGTTCTATCGCTTATATGAAACGTTGTCTAGTTCCACATTTCATTAAAATAGACCAGAGGGGACGGTGACGTCTGGGCATCAAACCTAAGGTCTTACCGGTTGAGTCACCCCAAAGGTTTTCATTGGATTTTTTATGGCAAATGGGAATTAAATAAATTTGTATAGATCTAATAATTGCTTGAATTCAACATGTAGGTCTTACGTATGGCATGTTTACGAGAGACGGTGTAGAAATGCCTTGCCCTGATAGTACGGCTGGCCTTTACATCAAAACACGAACGGGTCAAATAGTCAAAGTACGTTTTCTTTCTTTGCCGTTTACATCTTGTTCGTATGTTTTTGTGACGTCTTTTACTTGCTTCAAGTTTAGAATTATCATTTGCACAAAAACCTTTTATTCAACCGGTAAGATCTTGAGTTTGCTCCACCGAGGTCATCAGTTGAAGTCCCATGAGGCCAACTGGAGGGTTGGTCTGACTGTTAACTTCAGGGCCCATGGGATTAATCGAGGTCTGCACAAGTTGTTCTGAATCCAAAACATGTCTTTCATTCAAGATTTTGTTGGTTTCTAATACCTCTTGAGGCAAAAGAAACGGAAAAAGTTTGCGTACATCTGACCTCCTTGACCCTACCTCCGGTGGGATATACTGAGTTTGTTTGAAGTAAAGGTATCATAACAATTTGGTATCTTTTTCCTTAGGTTGTGTACGGCGAAGATGAAATTGCATACCAAATTGGCAATATAACCGAGATACTTTCGGGAGGTCGTCTTTGTGCAACACCGCATTGTGTCCGTGTACGCTCACTTGCCTTTTCTCTCTCTTTTTTTGAAACATTCATGCGATACGGGATTGTTTTGACATGATTTGGAAAACCATTTTGCAGGCACCGAAAGGCGGAAAAGCAGCAGGACTCGAACGTTCGACCTTTGCGTTATTCATGCAACCTGACTGGTTCGCTTCCCACATAACAACGATCAAACCCTTTCGCTTACTAGAATGTAATTGGCTGATATTGTTTCGATTTCGTTGTTCAATTTTCAGGGACGAAAAACTTAATTTTCCGGAAGCGGGAAACGTTCATCAGGAGGTATGTAACGACCCTTTAGATGCTACGGGTTTGATCTATATTTTTGAACCAAACTGAAAATAACCGAACCAAAATTGTCAACTTTGATTCGGTTAAGTTCAACTTGGTTAACTTTGAGGGTCAACTTAACTGGCAATTTGAGTCTAGTTTAGATTGCCGAGGATTTTCTTGGCTGTTATCTTGTGGGCCCCATGTTTAGTCGAGACGTGCATAAGTTGGTCTGGTCATATACAGTTACCAAAAGAAAATAGTCTAAGCTCCGTTTCATGGTTTAAACTATTTTTTACGTAAATTGGATTGTTTCGGGTGAAAAAATGGTTCGGAAACTATATCGTTTTGTTGTCGTGTGATTCGGTTGATGCAGGCTAACGGATTGCTTACGTTTGGGGAGTACACCGAAAAGCTTCTTGACAAGTACTATCATTTGAAAATATAGACCGTTATTTGAAGTTGTAATAATCAGTTTTATTTTTATAACGCATTTAAACACTACAAAAAAAGTATATAAACTAATTTATATAGAATTAAAAAGAATATAAACGTTTATTGGCTTTTTTTCAATCAGTCTTGAACCCGAGATTGGTTTTGGCCGAACCGAGCTTGAAACGGTCATGATCGATTCTAGATTCGTGGTGTCCAAATAGAGTGGGCAAATGTAACCGGTCCTTAGGGACCGTTTGAGGTTAACTAAAACCCGACCTGATCCGTAGCTGGTTAAATGAAGACTGGTTCGTAACCGCATTCTATCGGTACCAAATCAACACTGTTGAGTTAGGATTATTAAGAACCCGAGCCATGTCATCTTTAGCAGGTCAAAAGGTTAATCAGACCCTCAAATATATGTAAAATTAATTGGTACCAATTAAAGTTGATTGGTACTGTCTTACCAAATATGTAAACTTGCTTGGTATACGGTATTGGAAGTTGTGTACCATGGTAGTATTATGGTATCGACTTATTTAATTATTTATTATTTTTTCTATGTGTTTTATATATTAAATATCAAAATATTGTAACTTTAACTACTTTGTTTGAATATTTAAATGTTTGTAAGTTTTATTTCTTGCAATTAAAAACACCTATAAACATCATATGTGTTACCTGAAAACTTAATATGCCATTTAAAATATGAATAAAATGGTAAGTTTTTATCTATATAACTTGAAGTTGGTACAAAACCAATATTAATATACAAGTGCAAGTTTGAATATGATTTGAAAGTTCCAAAGAATCTAGAAGTAAATGGGAGGTCGTATCTCTAGAACCTTCCACATAAAATTAAAATAAATTCTATAAAAAAGGAAATATTTTTTATTATATTTTTACTAATAATTTTTTTTGAAATAAATTGTTTAAGA